CCCAAGCCCCACCCCCACCGACTTCCAGGAGCTGAAGGGAGGAAGAAATGAGTTTTTACTGTGTTAAGTCATTGGGATGTTTGGGTTGTGTATTTCAGCAATTAGCCTACACTGACTAAAGTAGTCACCAGGGTCCAGTTTCCTACATAGGCACCTGGAAGCATATTCGTAATCCTCATCTTTCCTATGATAAATCCAGATATAGATTCACTTTACATAAGGATGCACACTGTCATTAATCTGTAGGGCCCTCTTTCTATTCTCTCAGTCAGAAAGAAGCCCTACATGCTTAGGAGTATAAAATTGAAATACATGATTCTCACTTATGCTTCAGCTGTAAGTTTAGTCCTTATAGTACAGACATCAACGAGGCAGAACTTGACAGCACATTTATAAAATGTACTCCAAACACTAAAAGTCGCAACAAATCGAGGGCGCTCAAATCCACTGCAATTTGTTATCTCTGAGTCAAGCCCTTCTTAATTATTTTAAACCTTTTGGCACAAAGGTTAAAAACCAGTGACTCATGGGATGAATTTAGCTTACAAGTTTTATTGACTCCAAAAACATTTAACATTTAAAATAATTTCTTGGTGGAAAGCCACGTGAGAGAGGCAGCTGCACCAGAGGAATGGAGCTGAAAGGAAAAAAATTAAGTTCCCAATTTTACATATTGGGACAATTGGAACAAAATCCAGATTTCCTGCTTTACTTGAAGAAACGGGAGTATCTTGCCCGGCCGGGCGTGGCTCAGCGGTTGAGCGTCGACCTAGGATCCAGGCGATCGGGGTTCGATTCCTGGTCGGGGCACATGCCCGGGGTTGCGGGCTTGACCAATCACTCTCTCATCATTGATGTTTCTATCTCTCTCTCCTTCTCCTTTCCTCTCTCTGAGATCAATAAAGATATTAAAAAAAAAAAAAGAAAGAAAGAAATGGTAGTATTTAGCATCATTGGGTCTGCCTCCCTGCATGGTCCTATCAGACTAAAGCTGAGTAGCGGCTGGCTTCCACAGGTGATGCAAGCACTCTCTAGTTACCTCCAACACCTACCTTCACTCTTCTACTGGGCACTTGAGTTTATGACCCCTTCTCTAGCCTATGTGTAAGATCTGTCATGGGCTAGTCCTACACAACATCTGCTCCAAGAATTTAAGCTATTTTAGTATAAGTGGCAATACTTACAGGATATCCAGGGAAAGGTGGGTAGCCTGTGGGAGGATAGCCTGGATATGACATTCTGTAACAATAAAAAATGTCCTTTGTAATTTCTTATAAGGATGAAGGCCTCTGAAGATATATATTGTCATAGGGTCTTATACAAAATATACCTTCTTTCAAAAGAATCTGGCTGGCATTCAAATGTGGATATTAGGGATAAAAGCAAAGCTGATACACGTGTTTTCATTTTATCATTGGTACCAATAGAGTCAGTATAGCAGAACAAATGTTCCAACTTCCTTCTCCTATACAATACAATTTTTGTCATAACTGAATATTACCGGTACTATTATTTATGGAATATTTTCCTTTAAGTCAATTCATTTTTCACTTAAATCTATTTTTAAACTTGCTTTATATTACTTCCATAAATGGAAACCATGAAATAGTTTTCTTGCCACAAAGAGAAGGTAATATTAAGATGAATATATAAATATTAAAATACTTTCCACATGTCACAGAAATCCTCTTATGTAGGATATAACCACATTATGGGAAACAATGAAACAATGCTATCATGGCTAAGAGTTAACATTCTATAGTCATACACACCTGGACTAAACCCTGCCTTTATTTTTATAAACTTCTGATTTTGGAAAATTTCACTTATTAAAAAGTAAAAATAATATATAAGAAAGCCCACACAATCATCACCCAGCTGCAATAATTACCAATTCATGGCCAAATTTTTTCAATATTCTCTCTTACTCCCAACCAGTTTATTGGACTGTTTTGAAGTAAACCCCAGACATTCTATCCTTTTAATCTATATATACTTCATACATCTCTAAAAACATACCTTATTAACAGGGCTGTTTTAAAAATCGAACCATAATATCATCAATGTGTCAGTGTTAAAATTTCCAATTGTCTGGACTTCCAGGCAAGGTGGCAGTGTAGGTAAACACAGTGCTCACCTTCTCCCACAACCACATGACAATTACAACTAAACTACAAAACCACCATCATTCAGAACCGCCTGAAATCTAGCTGAATGGAAGTCCTACAACTAAGGATTTAAAGAAGCCACATCAAAACTGGTTGGCAGGAGGGGTGGAGACGCAGACCAGGCCAGTCGCACACTCAGGTGTCGGATAAAAATGTGGAGGGATTTCTTGGCTGCAGAGGTCACTCCTGAGCAAGGTATCCCAGCCCCACACCAGGCCCTCCAGCCCAGGGTTCCAGTGCCAGGCAGAGAAATCCACATAACTTCTGGCTGTAAAAACCAGTGGGGATTGAGGCTGAGAGAGAGGAAGGGCTGCGGGAATACAGGCAGTTCCTCTTAAAGGGCCCGCACACGGACTCACTAGGACTCACTCCCTCTGAGCTCCAAGGCTGGGGAAGCAGCTTCAAAGGCACCATACAGGGAGGAACTGGATTGTTCAGCTTCAGGTTAAGAGCTGAGTGGGAGGAGGCAGCTTTCTCCCAGACAGAAGTGCTGGCAGAGGCCATTGTTCCTTTTCTGAGATCCCCCTCAACCCCAGGAAAGTAAAACAATGCCCTGTGCAAGGCTAGAAGTGGGGTATAATTGTAAGATGGACTATCATCAAGCAGAATGAGAACAGGCCGATTATACAACTCAACACCAGGAAGATAAACAATCCAATTAAAAAATGGGCAAAGGGCCTGAATAGACACTTCTCCAAAGAGGACATACAGATGCCAATAGTCACATGAACCTGTATGGTTTTGCAAACCAATGTCACCCCAATAAATTCAATTTAAAAAATGGTCATGGGGATGTAAAGTACAGCATAGGAAATATAGTCAACAATATTGTAGTAACTGTATGGTATCAGCTGGGTAATAACCAAGGGATCAGTTTGTAAGTTATATAAATGTCTAATCTCTATTTGTACACCTGAACTGAATACAATGTAGGTCAACTGTAATTGAAAAAAAAGAAAACAGGTCTTCCATTTTTCTGGACACCCTGATGATGCACAGTGGATGCTTAATAAGTTACTTGTTTAAAAAAATTAATAAATAGAAGCCAGTTAGGTGGCTTTCGCGTGGAATTAAATACTCATTATTCCCCACCAGGTCACTCTTATTATCCCATATCTGTCAACAGTACCACTACTTAAATTACCTATTACTCCAGGATAGTAGGTAACCCAATACTATTTTTCTCTTCTTCCTTTGAAATGCCTCTCCCATTCTTCCAGTCCTTTCTATTCTCATGGCCATAGCCTTACACCAGGTTTTCATCGCCTGGTGCCTATTTTACTAAAATTACTTATTCATTTATGTCCTTGCTTATACTCTCACGCTTCCAATTTTCCTGGGCACCATTACTAGGTGAACTTGCCTAAAATGCTGCTCTTTCAGCATATTACTTTCCAGGTCAAAACTCAATGACTACTGCTGGAGTATCAAATGAAAAGTCATCGGCCTGACAGTCAGGTCTCTTTACTACTGATTCCAATTTATCTATTCAATTTATCTCTTACCAACACCTAACTCCCAGTGTGAAATCTCTACCGCGTGAACCACTCTCAACATGTCTTGCGTAAGCCACTGTTGCCTTTAACTGATCTGGCCCTCAAGCCTGAGCTCACTCACCTCTCCTCCCTCAACCAGCTCAAATCTTCTCTCCCTTCTTTGAACAATGCACTAGGTAAAATAGTACTTCTTAAACGTAAATATTCGCAGTATGTGAATCATCTGAGGAATCTGATTTAGTAGTTCTGAGATGGAGCCTGAGAGTCTGCATTTCTAACTAAGCTTCCAGATGATGCTAATGATGCTGGTCTGAGAGTCATATTTTGGTACCAGAATATTTTGGCATTTCTGTATCTACCATCTAATTTCCTAATTTTTTCAATGTGTTTTGACTCTTCTCCCCAATATGCCTGTAAAGGATTTGTATTATTTTTATATCAAGACCCCAAACAAATCCAAATCAAAATTTATGAAAACCCACTATCCCAGGACAGTAACACACAGTCCTAGGTGCTGATAGAAAGATGGGGGAGTAAGTATCCTGTCTTTTGAGTACACAATATAGGAAAATGAGATAATAAATTTAAGTTATTATAGTGTCCCTTATGACATAAGCACAGGATAGAAGCTAAAAACTTGCTAAACTGAGAATGAATGGACATATATTGAGTCAAAGTTATGCTCATAAGAAAGATAATAAGATATTAAGAAAATTAATCCAGTTAGTTCTAAAACAGTTATTTGGTATCCAAAGGCCTGGATGTAAAAACAGGAACAAACTACAACGTTTTGGGCTCCCTTCTCCTCTAAGCCTGGTCGGTATAAGGAGTAAAGGGACAACATCTGAAAACAGTCAGATGGGCCAACAGCAGAAGACATCACGTCGAAAGAAAAGGGGGAAAATCAGAAATAATTTATGACAAGAATAATAATTTTAAAGGCAACAAGTAGTTACCGTACCAAAGACTACATAAGCAATTAAATTTCTAAATCTCAGGAATTGTTCCAGTGACAAAGCATATTTCTACATTTATTAAATCTTACCTTTGAGGGCCTAGAGGAATTATGTCAATAAAGTTTGAAACCAGAATGAAAATAAAGACTATCTTCACATGAGAAAACTTAATGCAATTTTAAGAAAGTGAATTTGGGTTCATTTTTTAAAAAATGTAATTATATAAAGGACTAGAATGCAGCAATTCCATTTCCAGAAATGTATCTTCTAGAAATACTTGCACAAATGCAACACATGTATGTGCACGACTGTTGATTACAGCACTACTGGTAACAGAAAAGGGTTAAAACAATCTAAAAGTCCACCAATGAGGGACAGGTTAAATAGATTATGGATAGCGGTACAATGGAGTGTTACGCAGTTACTAAAAATGAGCAGCTACTTTTTTTACATATCTATGAAATCATCTCTAAGTCATGGGGGGAGGAGTGGAAAACTACATAGGTCATTTGCAACCAGATGTGGAAAAAACACATTTACTTCCTTCAATATGTAGAGAATACCCCTGAAAGTCCTCTCAAGGAAGCAGAAAAACAGGGGCTGCCTCGGGGCAGGGAAGCTGGGGGACAATGAGATGGACACTAACTTTCCCGCGCGCCTTTCACCCTTTTGGAATTGGGCCCAGTATCATCTATTCAAAAGGGAGATTTCAAAAGCTTTTAGTAAAAAGCTTAAACAAACCCCAGGGTAACTCAAAGAATTACTCAACGTTGCCCAGGGCCTAAGGCGGCCACAGCGGGGAACCCGGGCTTTTCTTTTTAAACATCCTTCCCCAGCAACTACTTTTTAAAAGCCTAGAAAATCATTCCTGGTTCTCCAAACCATCCCCACCCAGTGAGTCAGCTGTGAAAGGGGTGGGTCCCCGTGGGAGTCTCAGAGGTGGCAGGAGGCCCAGGAACAAGAGGCAGCTGTTTATGAACTTAACAGAGAAGGGTTTAAAAACAACCCAAACGTCCATCGGTGTCTACTGAAGGAAGTTTCCTAAGTTTACGAAAGAAATAGGAAAGGGAAGGGTGGGTGATGACGCCCAACCGCAGACGCCCCGCCGCAGCCCGCCGCCCCGGCGGCTCGCTACGCTCATTACCTGACGAGGGCAGATCGCTTTACCAGATCGGCTCCCGCTCAGCTGGCAAAAGCAGGCGCTGCCTTCCGCGGGTGGCGGTGCGGTGCCCACCCGCCATCTCCCGCGGTGCGGGGCGCGCTCGACGGGACCAGCCGGTAACCGCACGTGTGTGCGGCTGCGGCTGCGGCGCGGGACCGAATCGGGAACGCTGACCCCACAACTACGAACCTCGGGCCAGGGGGCAATTTCAGGCTTTCGCACTGTGTTTGCTAAACAAGTGCGGTACGGATTTCCCAAGTTTCCCTAAATCTGCTGTGTCACCGGGA